ATCTATTTTTCAGAAATACTGAGGTAAGACAAAATCTATTTTTCAGAGATACTGAGGTAAGACAAAATCTATTTTTCAGAAATACTGAGGTAAGACAAAATCTATTTTTCAGAGATACTGAGGTACCACAAAATAGCAACCAGAATTTAAAATCAAAAGGAGGAAATGCAGAACATCATACTCATTCCATTTTTCAAAGGTGAAATGGCTTCCATGTTCTCCCTAGGAACTCTCAAGGCATTTGTGTCTATGTAGTATGATGGCCCTCCTTGCTTGCTTTTATCACCGTCGATCTCCATCATGGAGCTTCCGTCATCTCGGTCCAAGACCACCCCAATGGCAGTAGGGAAGTCCACCTACAATGAACAGTATGGAGAACAAACATCCAAGATTATACAATAACCACCTGATGTATATTATTTTAACTAGCCTGGATGTTACAAAAAGGAGTGATCATGCAGCAGGATCCCTCATTCCCATAGCCTTCTCCTGCCATCAAAGATCAAGATGCAGTTGACCAAATGTCTTTGGAAATGTTTTTGCTGTTGCAATAAGTCGGTTATTACCTAGGGAGTTGTATACATAAAGATTGAGATCCAAGAGAAGAATTTGTAGGGATATGATCTTAAGAAGGCAAAGCTACAGTGATATGAGAAGCGAAAGGTAATCTTTCCTGGGAAATAATTATTTCTAATATTTATAGGCTGCCCGATCTGTTACAAATGTAGGAAGTTTCCAAAATACAATAATAAAACACAGAACATATCATCTAAAAGAAATCCTGGAGAATATTAACAATCAGTTAATAATATATTAACGTACCCACCAGGGACCTTGTTTAATTGATGAGACCCAGAGCATGCCAAATTAATCAAGCAGGTATGAGAAATAAACACATAACTAATGTTTCATGTATTACTGGACCACAATTGCTCAGGCAGTGTTCCATTGTTCATTATACAGAGCAGTGTCTGTCAACCTCAGCAATTTTAAGATGTGTGGACCTCAACTCCCAGAATTCCCCAGCCAATATGGGAATAGGGAACATTCTGAGAACTAAAACACTCATATAGAGCTTTGCTTTAGTATATTACTAAATCATGAGGGTTCCTGGCTTAATCTACCACTTCACTTTCATCCTTACCTTTGGGCAATCTTCTCCAGCATAGCCAGCTCGTACTGTGCAGGAGCCAATATCAAACACCAGAGCACCAACTTCATCTGCAAACAGAGAGGCATTATTTGAATTTATTTAAATTCAGCACAAAAGCACTACCTTGCTTTTACTGACCAAATGCTCAAATTCTCCATTCAGAAGACATAAAAATATCTATTGCCATTCATCATACTCCTGAATGAATGAGTTTCTTATATGTACCAGTATACAAGTAAATGTAGTGAAGAATTACACATAGCCATGCTATGAGATAGCCTTTACAGGTAGTCCTTGACTTATGACCATCACTGAGCCCAAAATTTCTGTTTGTCAAATGAGACATTTCTTAAGTGAGTTTTGCTCCATTTTACAACCTTTCTTGCCACAGTTGTTAAGTGAATCACTGCAATTGATAAGTTAGTAAGCTGGCTGTTAAGTGAATCTGGCTTCCCCATTGACTTTGCTTGCCAGAAGGTTGAAAAAAGTGATCACGTGACATTGGGATACAGCAACGGTTGTAAGTATGAACCAGTTGTCACGCATCTGAATTTTGATCACATGATCATGGGGATGCGGCAAAGGTCATAACTGTGAAAAATGGTCATAAGTCACTTTTTTCAGTGCCATTGTAACTTTGAACAGTCACTAAAGGAACTGTTGCATACCTGTATTGTCACTTCTTTCTGTGAACACACTGTCACATATTAAAAATTAAAATTCTGATGCCCATTCTCAAAAGAGTGTGTGTGTGTGTGTGTGTGTGTGTATGGAGATGGATGGATAGATGGACAGATAAGACAGATACGCAGACATAGACAGATAGATCTGTATCCATACATGCACATATACATACGATACTCTGTGTGTGTGTGTGTGTGGTGTGTAGACAGATGGACGGACGGACAGACTGACTGACAGATCGACAGACACAGACAGATAGATCTGTATCCATACATGCACATATACATACGATACTCTGTGTGTGTGTGTGTGTGTGTGTGTAGACGGACGGACGAACAGACTGACAGACAGATCGACAGACAGACACAGATAGATGGATCTGTATCCATACATGCACATATACATATGATTGTGTGTGTGTGTGTGTGTGTGTGTGTAGACGGACGGACGGACTGACGGACAGAGACAGATAGATCTGTATCCATACATGCACATATACATGATACTCTGTGTGTGCGTGTGTGTGTATAAATATACACAGAGACATACAGACACATATAAACATATATTAATCACAGACGATTTAGATTTTAGAAATAACACAAATATAACTCATATATCAGTGACCCTCTCTTCGGAAATAAAACAATTCTGTCGATTTAACCCATTAACAGAGTTGGAAGGGACCTTGTAGGTCATCTAGTTCTACTACAATCCCCCCCCACCCGCCCAAGCAGGAGACCCTACGCCATTTCTGACAAACCGTCCCTCAGAACGGAACCAAAACAAACAAAAGATAAATATCACCATGTGCTTTTTAACCATTACATCACCCTCATGTCCTGAAATCTGGATGGAAGCCCGAGTAAGGGGTGTGTGTGTGTGTGTGTGTGTGTATACATACATATACATACACTATACACATACACACATACACACACATATATAGCTGACCATATCAGGATTAACCACCAGGATTCGTGCGCCAAGTGAGTCTCGGGGCAGCAAGGAGGGGAAGCCGGCGTCGGCGTCGTCCGGAGGCTCGGAAAGCCGGCAGGCAATTTGGCGAAGCGAGAAGCCCGAGGAGGTCGCTTGCGGGGCAGGTCACTCAGAAGCTCCGCCCTCCGCCGGCCCGCGTGAAAGAAAGGGCGGCCCCCTCCCGCCTAAAAGGCCGCTCACCTCCTCCGTAGACGCCGCCGCTCATGACGGCTCGAGCTCCCGCTTCGCCGGGAGCAGCTCCGACCTCCGAGCGTCTGAACTTCACCTCAGCTTCGCTCCTTCTTCTCGCTCTCTCACTCTTCTCTCCTTCTCTCGGCTCCCGGACGTCCCGCCTCCGTTTTGCCCTCGGCGAGCCAATAGAAAGCGACGTCGCGGAGGAGGCAGCCTATGGGAGAAGGGATAGAAATAGGCAAGCCAATCGCGGGGTCCTTTTCTCGGGCCGATTTGCTTGGGCTCGTTCGGGCCTCCTGATAGGTTGAGAAGGGTCCGGCGTGCGAAGGGGGAAAAAGTCGGCTGCAACCGCCCGGGGGCGGAGCTAATGGGAGGGGGCGGGCGGGGTTGGTTCTGAGTATGCCTCTACTTGGGAGTAAGGCGTTCAAGGCACGATGTCGTGATTCTTTCTCTCTCTCCTGAGTGTTGGACTACAACTCCCGTCGCCCCACTTAGATATCTGTCGTGATGGGGATTGTAGTCCCAAACAAAGGCGCTCGCTAGTTTAGAGAAACTTTCAACCGCTCTTCTTCCAACGTGGTCTATGCCAGTAGAGTAGAGTAGAGTAGAGTAGAATAGAATAGAATAGAATAGAATAGAATAGAATAGAATAGAATA